GAAGGTGAGATCGTCGTTTTGCCAGGACCCGGATGCGTTTGAGAGAACATCCCAGCCGTTCCTTCTCAGCTGGTTTTCCATCTTGTCTTGACATTGCCCAGATCCAACGCTATGTTTTGCTTCAGCGGTCTCCCCGCTTCGATTCAAGGTGTTGCCTACGGAAATGCCTCGATTGGAAGTGTCCAACCTGGGGAAGGTGAAAGGGGGAGAGGAATTTTCCAGGTTCTTTGTGATTCCTTCTGAAGCAATTGATGGTAAATGGTTGCCAACTTGCTGGAGGGAAAGAAAATTCCTGTTGTAGGCAAGGCTGCAGTGGGCACGGATTTCTTCCCTACCTCTTTGTTGAAAAGTATTCTTTGATGCTGTAGGCTTGCAAACAACAGCTCTGCTCCACCTCGGAGTTGGCTGCGTTTCAGCAGCAGTGGGTGTTATGAAATTCCTGCATTTTTAACGCCGATGTATATGCTGCTTTCCATCGAAAGATCTGGCTGTTAGCTGAAATTGTTAAGACCCGTGGTGGCGTACTCGAGGGAGTGCCCCTCATTGAGGGTTTGGGAATCTCTGGGCCAGTTGGGACTTGGGAAGTATTAATTTGAGTCACTGGTTCTCTGCAGAGACCTGCTGCGGGGGGGGAGATGATGATGTGACTCCTTCCAGAAGGTTTTTAACATTCCTGGGATTCCAGGAGAGGGGTCTCAGGGAAAAAAAAAAAAACCACAAAAAAACCCAAACCAAAACCCCTTTAGATTGTTGTTCATGGGAATAGTCATGGCTGTGGGGCTTAAAGAAAAAAATCTTGGCTTTAGGTTTGTTTGAAAATGCAAAATCTACTAAAACAATTAACTTCACTTTGAAAAATAGAAGTGTAATAAAGGGGAGGCAAGCATCTGTTGTCTTCGGAAACATTTCTCTTCCAGTTCTCTGCTGGGCACCACAACGCGATCAGATCTGCCGGCTGCGTCAAGATCAGGTTCCTCGGTGACTCTGCCCGAGCAGCCTCTCTGCTTGGGGGGGGACAACGCTGCACAGCACCCTACGAGCCCCTTCCCGGCCGCTGGAAACGGGGAAACTCGTGGGGTGACTGGAGACGGAGGGGCTGGACACGGTGGGTGTCTGGTCTCCTTGGTCTTGCCTGCGTTCAGCATCCGGTGCTCGCTCCCAGAAGTGTCGTTGTTGGGAGATTAGCTGAATAGCCGGGCGCAGTCTTTAAGAAATCGTTACGTGGCTGTAAAAGCTGATGTGAGGTTTCCAGGAGCAGTGACTTTTGTTTTTGCAGGTAGCACCCGGAAAAGGTGAGGCTGTGCAGGGCCCAAACTCGTGTGTTGTATAGCTAGAAATGGGTCTTGGTTCCTTCAAACATCCCCCAAACCTGAAAATAAACAGACTCCCGAGCTTTTGTTTTGCAGAGAAGTAAAGTTAGTGGGGTTTGTTGTTTGGTTGGGGGTTTTTTCCTAGGCAAAGGGACTAGAAAAACTGCTGTTAAGGACTCTTGAAACCTGAAATATTCTCTCACCTCTCTATGCAAGCAGCCCCGGCCTGATCCAGTCTGGCATTTCTTGTATCCCCCTTTTTGTCCCAACTCCGGGGGGGGTGTGTGGACCGAATTGCAAAAGTGCTTCTGACCCTTTGTCAGCACCGGGGTGCTCCGAACTCGCTGGGTCTGTCTGACGTTGCTGAGCTATTGTGATGGGTCTGTTGACACTTCAGCTGAAACCAGTTACGCTGGGCTGTTTTCCTGATTGCTCTGGGTGTTTCTTTATGAAAAAAAAACCAAACACCTCACCTCTCAAGCACTTGCTGAGTGCCAGTTTGAAACCTTAAAGGAACGAGTAAATCAAAAGTATTTTTAGACCGCTGCCATCCCAAACCGCGCAGCTGCGGAGCACGTGTGGCTTCCGAACTGTCTGAAGCCCAGCAAAAGGCAGCGCTGCTGCCAAACGGGTGCTCTGACCTGGGTTCTGCTTCTTGCGCACCGGCGCGGGGAGTTGGATCGGTGGCTGGAACCTCTCGCTGGCAGCACAAGTGCTGGAGGAGCCCGAAGGGTGGGCTGGGGAAAAAAGTGTGGGGGGGGCTGCTTTATTGCAGCTTTGATTTGGGTCTCTTTTGGTCTTTAACTAATAATGTAACCGAAAAGATAATAAACGGGAAGGTGAAGTATCTGCTCTGTGTCACTTGAGTAAGATGCTTCAAATCTGAAATGACTTCTTGTAACTATAGAGTTGTTGTAAACCTGTCCAGTTCCACTAAGAACTTCTGGGTCTCTGTGTTAGGACCGGACTTCTCGGTAACTTGGTTGCTCTCTGCTGTGAGAAAGCAAGCTTGTTAAATCATAGATTTTCTTAATTTTTGGTTTTTTTTCTCCCCAAGAAAGGATTCTGGGATAGCTGTTAGTGCAACTTTTTGCTGCTTCTGAAATCACATACTTGGGCGGTCTCGTGACAGGCCCCTGTGCCTGGTGCTGCCTTGCTGGTGGCATCGCCGGTCTGAAGGTGCAGAACTCATAAGCAGTGGCAACGATGGGTTCACTCTTTGAGTGTTTTCGTAGCCCTCGTGAGCTTTCTGGCATGATTTTGGCCTTGGGAGGCTGCAGGACATAGGGGTAGAATTTCAGTGTGATTTTCGGTCTTTGCAGGACTACTTGCCCCTCTGCTATCTCAGTCTGCCCTCCTCATCTGTCTCTTTTTTTCTTTTTTTTTTTTTTCCTGCTGGTGTCCCTACAGCTCTGTTTCCATGTATTGGCTGCCCGGCTGAGTTAATGTGTCCTTGGATCTCTGGCCCTATCTCTTTCCCCTTTGTGCTGGACTCTTTTTGTTAATCTCCTGCCTATTTTACATAACATTACTTGGCTCTGCCAAGCTCTGGTGTATCTGACTGGCAGCAGATTAAGGTTGTGCTTGGTGATAACATTGTTCCTTGGGGAACAGATGATGGTAGGAGGAGGGTGGGAGAATAGGAAATTGGAGTCGCATGGAAATTGCTGGGGCCTTTGCAAGAGCAGCAGCCATAAATCAAAATGGATGTTGCAAACTCAGTGGGGTTTTTTTTCCTCCATCCCTTACACAGCTACGGCTTGTTAGCACTAAGTGTGCTGCTGGTGTTTGCACAGTACTTTGCAGGTAAGATAGTCTCGGACCTACGGAGGACCAGCTAGACTGGCATATCAGAAACGTGAGCTGCTCTGCTAGCACCGACACACACTGTTACCGAGTTACAGCGAGGAAATCCTTTCCAGTCTGCGCCTCAGTTTCCCGTCTGCCTCGGACACCTTTTCCCTGCTTCCTCCTCGTTTCAAGGTTTCTTGCGTTGCACGGGGCAGGCGTGGCTGCTGTGGTGGATGTGGGGGGTCAGATCCTGACCTGACAGGAGATACTGGTGCTGGAGTTGTAGGCTAAAAGAGCCTTCGGTGAGATGGCCCCTCCGTCACGGGATCACCCCTGGGCGTTCAGGAGATCTGCTCTCTTCCTGGGGCGAAGGTTCTGGGGCGACAGAGCCCTCGCCACGGGGCGAACCAGAGGGTGCCGGTTCCCACGGAGCAACGCTTTGCCGGTGGGAACGGTCCACGACGGCGATGCCGACGGATCAGCGCTAACTCGTTCCGGCCAGAACCGGAGGTGCTGGGAAAGTGGCTGGAAAGTGGCGTTGGCCTCCGTGAAGGCGGCGAACACTCGAGTTGCAGCTCCTGGGGCTCCTGCAGGACCCGCCTAGGGGAGGACCCAAGGAGGGATGGGCGCATCCGAGCTCTTGCAAAGTTGCCTCCCAGGAGCCAGTGTTTCCAAGCGGTCCGTGATGGACTCGGGCTGAAATGCTTGTCTGAAACTTTCCTGTAAGGCACTTGCTTTGGTTTTGTGGGGTTTGTTTGGGGTTTTTTTTTTTCTTGCTTGGAAAGCACCTCTGCCCTCCGGAGATGGGGATCTCCTTGGTGGATAGCTGCCCCGGTTTGCTGTGGTGGGGAGACCAGTGCTAAATGCCAGGTTTGGATGCGGGGGTTGCGCTTTCAGGTAAGAATGCGATTCTTTGGAGTAAAACTTTGTGTACTGATTATGGCTTAAAAAAACCAGAGCAGTACTTTGAATGTTTGGCCGTGTAAATCCGTGTGCAGTGGACGTGGGTAAAACAGGTTGGGGGTTGAGTCCCCGTGAGCACTTATAGATCCATTGTTCAGGCTTGATCAAAACTGAGGGTGGCTCTTGGTGGGAGCACAAATTCAGCCACTCATCCCCGCTCGCTTCCACACTACGCTGCCCGCCGGTTTGTTCGCAAGCACTGAATGTCTTCCCGGATCCCAAGGAGCTGACTGGCATTTTCCACTTTTGCAAGCAAGAGGAAATGGAGAAGGGAGGACGCTTACACCTTTACTTTCTCTGTAAAAGTACCGTAAACCTGGGGCAGGAATTAACCGAGTAAGAAGGGAGACTGGCATACGCATACAGATAATGCTGGCGCGGAGAAAAGATGCGTTCTGTGCTCGGTTTGTGTGGTGGTTCCGGCCAAACTGCAAAAGCTGTACTCGATTTTAAGGGGGAGAGACTCGAGCAGAGTTTGAGGTGGTGTGATTAGGGCAGAGGCTGTGTTTGCCTATTGCTCAAGGAAAAGGGCTGCTCAATTGTTGCTGCACATAACTAGAGTCTTGTTTTACTGCGTAAATAGCACTGGTAAGGAAAAAAATCTTGTAAGATCCTGCTGAGGAGTGTAAGGCCATGGAAGGGGGTTGCTCGGACACTGAACAATAGACTCATCCAGCTCCTTTGTGCATCATGGCACCAGCCTGACTTTCTCTCTGCTTGCTGCTGCAGGCTGGGTGTTTCTCCTTCCCCGGCGCTGCCTGTTCAATTTTGATTTGCGGCATTGTCCGCCCTTGATGCCGAGCTCCAAGGTCAGTTTTCTAATTGCAGGGTAGCAGCGAGGTGGCACACCAGCTCCTGGGACCGGTCGCAAGCGTTAACCTGTCGGTCCCTCCTGGACCCCACCCAGCTCACGGCGCGGCACAGATTTAGGTTGTAACCTACGCGCGTTTCCCAGGGATTTGCGAAACGCAAACTTCTCCCCGTGCTCTAACTGGGTCTCGCCTAAAGAAGCATTTTGGATGCTGTCATTAGGATGAAAGCCGAGGGGCTGTTTCTCTAGATTTGGGTATTACGCGTGCGGAACACAACTCCTCTGTGGGTGTACGCAGCTCCCATCCCCTCCCCCAGTAAACATACCACTGAACCGGTACTTGTATAATGCTTTGAAAAAAAGTTCACCATTTGCCAGTGAGCGTGCAGTCTGACGGGGGAAGTTTATGGGGCCTGTCATAGCTGCAGAATCCTTAATATTTGTGTCAAAATAAGATTGGTCTCTAATTTAGTGGCAGTTTTAAAGCTAGTCTGATCTGGATTTAATTTGTCAGCTCAAAAATTACTGAGAATAAGTAGTATATGGGGTGTTCTGAACCACAATGCCACTTCAGTCTCTCGCCTTCCCCTCCTCCCTTTCTTCCCTGGGCATCCACATGTGTCATCTTAAAAAGGTGAAAGGATTTATCCAACTTCAGCAGCCATTTCCGTTTCGATTTGGGATTCAAGCTTTCAAAAACGTTTAGAGGAAACTGTTTTGCATAAGAATGGCCGAGCCTGGGATTTGGTGCCTCCCCAGGTACGCCCTGCGAAGGCGGTCATCTACCTGCCTGTGATTCACAGCGGTTGCGTTCGTCCTGTTCCTAGGCCCTTCCTCGTGCGTCCATCACTTCTCGCTGTTCAAGCCAAGGCGCTCCCCAGGTACCTGCCAAGCCGCCACACTGCATCTCTGCAGAACCCGCTCGGGTGCCTTCATCCCCTGCGCTGCCTTCGCACCATCTGCAAACATCCCGTGACCTGAGGCGAGAGGAAAGATGGGATTGTTGTTTTATAGTACTAGCCCACGACTCCATCCCCCGGGGCAGGTTGATTCCTCCTCTACCTCCTTTTCCTTCTTTCCCCACCAATATTTGTAAAAATATCTCCCTTATCAGCAGACTTTTGAAGTGAATAGCGTTCTCGCCTCATAGTAGAGCTGGCCACATGTTGAAGCGGGCTGATACAGAGCCCATTAGGCAGCGGAGGTCAAACATTCAGCTGCAGGTACGACAGGGTTTCCCGGCTCGGTTATCTTGTTTGCACAACTCTGCGTGTGTGCAGGCAGAGGTGGGTGCGGTGCAGGTGATAATAAGCTGGGCTGCCTGCAATCATCTCACCTCCATGCTGAGAGCTCCTGCTCAAGCGTCCCGGAAAACTCTGCCTGGAGAGTGGAGGAATGTGCAACTAATTAGGGCCCTTGAGCTGAGTTTTGGGTTTTGGGGTGATTAAAGTGAATCGTGAGTCAGGCACTTTGGGTTTTCTCCTGGCCTGAAGAGTGTGGCCCTCTTGCTGTGCTGTCTGCGTTAAGCTTTTTACAAATGAGGATGACGGTTGAGCTCATGAGAGGTCGGGGAGAACCAGTGACTTGGTGTGCAGAACACACCATGGTAAGGAAAAAGCGTGTCATTTTTTTTTAGCACCTCGGTGCCGCAAGGAAGGAGGTTCCAAACTGGGTTTGCCTGTCCCAGCAGGGACCGCAGCCAGCCCTGACGGGAGATTTCCAAGCCCTTGGTTAGGAAAGGAAGCTGAGCATCTGCTGTGGGGTGTGATGATCGGGCTGCTTCTCATCCCTCGGGTTTGCTCGTGGTGCTGTATCTTTTTGTGTTTTCACTCTTTTTTTATGGACAAGTAACACAATTAACACCTGATCAATTATTAAGTTCGGACTCTGTGAGGTAAAACACCCTTTACATCTGACGCTTCGTGTTTGGCTGTCCACAGGACAGGAAGTAGTTACATTACTGGTGGTATACGAGCTTTGAAAACTAATACTTAGCGTTATGGCTTGTCTAGTCTTGCTCCCAGCAATGCCCAGTGTGTCAAAGAAATGTGAAAAATCCTTCTTGAGACTTAACCATCTTTTCCTGTCAAGTTTTTTCCACTCAGCTCAACGAATTTTGAATTGCAGCCTTGTTCCAGACCTGGAAGGGAATCGCTTCCCTCGTTGTGCAGGTGACTTTCGGGGTGATGCTCGGAAGTTGATGCTCTGGGTGCTGACCCTCGCGCTGTTGTGTGATCTAGAAGTGATCCAGCTCTTCCAGAGATCCAGCCCCACGGTTGTATGTCCAGACTTCTTGCAACTATTTACTTGTCAGGGCTGAGGAGTTTGTTTCTGCCCAGCTCTGCGGGCTCTTTACCTCTTGGCAACGTTTGGGAAGCGCTCACCTGTTTTGGAGGGATCGGCAAGCGCCGCGCGTAGAGCAGCGCGCGGAAGCAGGCGTGCGTTACGTTAACCTTTCAGCAATAAAACTACCCAGGAAAGATGAGATCGGTGCGTTTACTGAACCAGAAGCAGCAGTCCTGGGGACTGCAACAGCTGTAGAGGCTCATAGTCTTCGTTGGAGTGTTGCTTAGTGATTGACTGATAAACCTTCTTTGCTGCTGGTTTGTTTTTACGTTTATGAAGTAGGATATCTGGGACAACAAAAATAGTTTTGTCTGTCATCCCCGTGAAGCTGCGTGGGCCGGACAGGGAGAATCTCTTATCAGATCTGGCAAACCTTATCTCCTCCCATGAATGTTCGAGGTTTTGCTGAATCCTCAATAAGGCTTTGAGGACAGATGAGGACTCGGCCTGCGAGATGCATAGCTGTCTCGAGTGCAGAAGTGGTTTCCTGTTGCTCGTGTGGTTGTCTCTGTGTGTTTCAAGCTCCTCCCGCCTCCGTCTGTGTCAAAGGCATTACCATAATGGTCAGCATCTTCCCAACTTGTAATGGTTGCGCGCACGCGTGTGTGTACGTGACAAGCTAACGATACTCTCGTCCCCCTTAGGACGGCAGCGATGAAGCACTGTTTTTACAATGAGACTGTGGGGTTCTTCTACAACAACAGCCGCAAAGAGCTGACCACGTACTGGAGGACGAAGGATGTCCTGGTGGTTGCCCTGGGCCTGACGGTGAGTGTCATCGTGCTCCTGACCAACCTGCTGGTCATCACCGCTATCATCATCAACCGGCGTTTCCACTACCCCATCTACTACCTGCTGGGGAACTTGGCAGCTGCCGACCTCTTTGCTGGCATCGCGTACATGTTTCTCATGTTCCACACGGGACCCAGGACAGCAGAGCTCTCCTTGAAGACCTGGTTCATCCGTCAGAGCTTGCTGGACACCAGCCTGACGGCCTCTGTGGTGAACCTGCTGGCGATCGCTGTGGAAAGGCACCAGACTGTGTTCACTATGCAGTTACACAGCAAAATGTCCAACCAGCGCGTGATGATCCTCATCTTCTGTATTTGGGTCACGGCCCTGCTCCTGGGGCTCATCCCGTCCTACGGCTGGCACTGCCTCTGTGCCCTGGAGAAGTGTTCCAGCATGGCGCCGCTCTACAGCAGGAGCTACCTGACCTTCTGGGCCATCTCCAACCTGGTCATATTCCTGATCATGGTGGTTGTGTACACGCACATCTTCATCTACGTCAAAAGGAAGATGACACGGATGTCCAAGCACACTAGCTTCCACCCCCGCTACAAGGAGACCATGATCAGCCTTGTCAAGACGGTCACTATTATCCTAAGTAAGTCTGCTCGCTGTGGTCAGTCTAAACGATGTTTTGATCCTCTGTCCTGGGTTGTGCGGGGCCGGAGAGGGGAATGCGCGTGGGACAGCGGGGAGGATTGAGAAGCGACGTTCTGCTTCCCTGGTCTCTGAAGCTGCTGGGGTGATGGTTTGGTGTGGGTGCTGAGGAACTCCACGGTTTTGAGACTGCAGGAATTGTGTGGGAGTGACCTGGCAGACAGAGGGGAGGGCAAGTTCCTGAATTTCTTCCCCTCACCCCCCCCCGGCGTGGCTGCTCGTCTGGTTAGCAGGGACAAGAGGCACCGTCACTAATGTCACTTGGCAATACCTGACTGCTCTGAGTGCAGGCGCTTTGGGCAAAGAGGAGGCTCTTTGATGTGCTCCACTCCGGTACGCTTCCTCTGGAGAGGAGTAGCATGGAGCTATAATCAGGCCTTAATCGAGAATTTGCACTTGGTGCATCCTTTATGAAAGGATGGAGGGACGTTTGGGGCAGATGTTGTGAGCTGGTGAAGAAAGAATGAGGGAGTTGCATCCAAATTCCTTACTGTTTACTGGAACAAAGCGCTGAACTCTGTTCAGATTTTTTTTTTTGAGACCCAGTACTGAGCTGCTCACAATCTGCTTGGGTAAATATGTCCCTGGAAACTCTCAACTCTTGGTTTGAGCTGCTCCCTGTGAGCCCAGGATCTGCAGCAGAGTGCTAACTGCCTGTCAGACTGTCTGTGCCCGCAGCCCCTAATGCAAATACAAGCAGATCAGTAACTGGAAGTGGCTAGCGCTGAGGCTCTGCCTCTCCACGATATTTAATTTTAGTCGGGTATGCGCTGTGCATCTAACAGTGGAGGCTGGTGCACGCGTTGTGCTTTCAACAGCCTATCGCTCCGTGATTTCTTTAGTCTGGTTTTTTTGCCTCGTGCTTTAATGGTCTAACAGCCCTTCTTTAAAGTGAAATAAATCAGCGTGCTCAGATCTTCCGCAGCCCAGCTCGACTCTGGGTTTACGGTCACAGCCCCTTGCTTGCAAATCTTTCCTGATAAGCGCAGAATTTGCTCCGTCAGGGAAACCTCGTAGCTTGCAAACAAAGACTACTCCCTTGCAAACTCCCGCTGGCAGAGCCGGGCTCGGCAGGGGAGTGGGAGCAGTGTGGGGGGGCTTGCGGGCTGCTTGGCGTGTCCCTGCTCGGGGGCACGCCGGCTTGCTGAGTCCTGTTGTAACTTGTGAGCATCGAAACTGGAGTTTTCTGCCTGTTCCTGCCTTTCCTGTGATGTCTTTCTCCCTGCCTCGCAATCTCTCCATCTCTTGTGTACAGCTGGGAGTTTGTAGCTGCCTTGGAGCTGATCGGATGCAGCACAGAGGGTCAGCGGGGCCGAGGAATGATTTACTTCATGTATTTTGCACAGTCCGCGGTGGAGAGAAAAGTTGTTTTGTTCCCCCTTCCTTCCCGAACAGTATCAGGGGTCACCACCCCCTGGTGTCAGCGGGACCGCTTAATTTTACGGGGCTTCACAAATACCAACTGGAAGAGGGGCAGGGATGCTGGCCAAGAAGGAAAATGCAATTCATCGCCTTGTTTTGGGAGATCCCGTTCCTCTTGGCGTCTGCCCGCCTGCCTGCCTTTGTCTTCTGCCTTGAGCCAGGAAAAACCTCGGGTCGGAGGAGGCTCAGGAGAGCTGCTGTGGTTTCACGGCGAGTTGGGGCTGGTGTCTGAGGACAGACGGAGCAGGGAGGAACCTAATGCGGAGAGCTGAGGGAGACTCAGGAGTTCATCAGACCTTTGGGACTCTTGTAACCCAAGAGATTTTCCCTTCCTCTGCAGGGCAGTGTCAGAGGGAAGCAGCAGTCAGTTCAGCACAGGTCCCTTGCACAGGAGGGAGTTGCTCAGCTCGGGGGCGGGGGGGAAATACCTCTCTGTTCAGATTCAGCGTGCAGAAAGCCGACGCTGCCGAGGGTTTTTTGTTTTTTTTTCCTCCTTGTGAAAGCCCTGGTGTAATTCCTTCTCCACCCTCGCTCCCCAGCCTTCTGCAAACTTGGACTCTGCACAGAGGAATACTTTGCGCCTTATGCATCAGAGGGTGTAGTCGCTGGTGAGCGTGCGAGGCAGTTGAGGGTGCGGTAGGAGATGTCTGTGTGCCACTTCATGGCGAGGTAACCGCGGTTGATAATCCTGCAGGTCCTGGGCATTAAGAACAGGTCTAGGAGCTGACCTGGAAACTAGTAAGTCCAAGGTTCATCTGGAAACTAGTTAGCAAGTTTTCCCACAGACTAGTGAGTGACACAGGACGCGACGAAGACCAAACCCCAGGGCAGAGTTGTTAGTGACCGTGCTGTCTTAGATCATTGAGAGTTCAGGCTTCTTTCTGAACACTTCAGCTTCCATGGAGGAGCAAGGAAATCATCTGGATTTGCAGGCAAAGGACCAAAACTCTCTAGGTACCTCTTTTTTTGCTTTTTCCGCCTCTCATCTTCAGTATTCCTCTGGCTTTACTTAGTGCTGCTGGGAGCCAATCTCTAGAGAATCTGGCTTGCCTTGTGGCTGCTGAAAACCTGGCTTAAAAAAAGTTCCATCCCTAAACAAGGAGGTCCCTTTCCTGCCGGCTCACTCAAGATAGAAGTATTGCACCTTCTGCATGACAGCCAGGAATCTCTCATTTATATTTGCTAAATTTAAAGGGGGCAAAGGCACGCCTGCAAGTGCAGGGAAAGCTGCCTGGCCCAGATGTGGTGGCTCCAGTGCTGACCTTCTGGGAGCATGATTCACTTAAATAAAAAGATTTGCATGATGCCGTGGCCTGAAATCAGCAGGGGACACTCCCAGAAACCCAGGGGATCCCTCCCATGTGTCCTCTGACTCTTCACCAGTGCAGCATTTGACTCAATGACAGCTCGAAATTCAGCCTCTCATTTTTGGTGCAGCTCCTCTGGCTGCTGTTTGTTCCCAACGAATGTTTTTTCAGTAAAGGGTGTAGTTGCAAAGTTCCCAGCAAGTCTGTCTTCTCCCGCCCTGTCCCAGAAATCGCAGCAGGGCACAGCTCCTGTGCTTTAAGATACAACCTTATGCATGACCTCCGGGAGCACCGATGGGCGCGTGCTCCGTTTACGTCAGCCTTAACATCCCGACCGTAAAAAGAGTTTTGGGAGCAGCCGCGGGCGCCTCCCACTCCGTCATGCAAAACAGCAATTATCCTTTTGCCAAAGAACTTTGCAGGTGGTGGAGTGAACGCAGTATCAGCCCAACTGAATCAGTGGTGGAGGCTGGCCAGCCCATCGCTTGGCTATTTTCTGCTCAGCTCATAGCTGACGCTGTTGGGCTGCCCCAAGTGCCACTTCTAAACTCATACTGTTAACTAAACTGTGTGGACAGCGGAGATTATTTCATTCGAGATGTAGCCCTCTGACTCTTCCTATTTACGTGCCCATATTTCCCCCAACAAGGGGAACAAGCCATAAAATTAGGGAAATGTGGGCGCTTTATCTTCACTCTGTAAATGCAGCGAAGGGGACGAGGGGAGGTAAGTGAGAGTACTTGGAAGTGGTGTTCGGAGTGAACGGGATGGGGGAAAGTCACTGCCTCCACTTCTAGTATTTGCTAGTGGAATCCTTGCTCTTCCTCCAAAGCAAAAAATAGAGTGAAACCAGTTTCTTTTTTTTTTTTCCCATTTAATTTTTTTTTTAACAAGATAAATCACCAGTGACTCCATAGAGCATCTTTATGGTGAGTGACTGGGCAGGGCCAGGAACCTGAGGGGTTTTTTTTCTAACAGGGTTTCTTCTCTCCCCAGGTGCTTTTGTCATCTGCTGGACTCCGGGACAAGTCGTGCTCCTCCTGGATGGCTTGGGCTGCAAGAGCTGCAATGTTCTAGCGGTGGAGAAATACGTCCTTTTGCTGGCAGAGATCAATTCGTTGATAAACGCTATTGTCTACTCTTACAGGGACAACGAGATGCGTAGCACCTTCCGGAGGATCCTCTGCTTTGTCTGTTATAGGAATTCCAAATACACCCCCACGGTGGTGAAGTTAAACACCACAGACCGCAGAACACTTTCTCAGAACGGGCACTTTACGGTGGATTCCTCTATTTAGCTCTTGATCAGCCAGACGAGCGCAGCGCTGAACGGCAAAAAGAGCGGAGGCTAAGAGCGACCTGCTTCTAAAGCAGCAGAGACTTCTTTTATGTGCTCAAGCATCAATATTTCTATTGAATACTTGTCATGGATAAAGGACAAGATGCTTTTAAGGAACTGCTGGATGGTGTGTTATTTAGAACAAACATACTTTGAGTAGTATTCTTATTAAAGACTGCTATTTCTAATGCAAAGTTGATCTAATTTAGCAGCATCTAGAAGCGTGTTGTGTGTGACAGGAATCTCGCGTGATCTCCCAACAAGCAAAGTATTTTCTTGGTACTTCAGTATTACTGCCCTCAGAAACAGTCGTTCCAGTGGTAGCGTACTCCAAAGAGCCAGGGCTCTTCAGCTTTACGCGCTGCTTCCTAAACGGAGCTGCTTAGTGTGTCCCCAGAGAGTCTTAGTCGGGTTGTGTTCCACCCGCCTCAGAAATCCTGTTCTTCTTAAGGCCTCTTCTGAGAGGAATCTGTTTGAATTGCTTCCTGAGAAGCAGATTCTGCTTCCCTGAGTGTCTCTTACTGAATTTCAAAGTCTGCTGGGCTTGTGGAGGATGTCTTCTGAGCACCTAACCCTTTCCTAAAATGGAGAGGGGTGCTGTAACTAACTGCAGTTGTGTTTGTGTTCTGCTAAGTGATACCATGTGGTATTCACAAGTTCATTGCCTATTCATAAATGTGGAGTGAGTCATGTTCCCATTAAACCATCTTTCTACTCGCTGAAAAACCCTTTGGGACAGGTTTAGGTTAGAGTCCAAGGCGATCAGTATTTTGCCTTAGGTTTTAACGTGCAGTTTGTACCTTAATACTCAGCTGCTCAAAAATGTCTGTTCCAATCTAGTCTTTCTCTCGGCAAAGCACCGTAAGAAATTAGCAATATTAATTAATATCAGTGCACGTAGGATCTAGTTTCTAAGTCCACGTACAGGCAATGTAAACTGTCGCTCTTGATTGTGAGGCCACGCAGAGGTTCTGTTGGCTCAAGAGTATTCACGGCTGAGAACCTGTAAAATTCCAGGTTTCCTGCGTCTTCGTGCTGTTAAAGTTTAACAGTGTGAATGTGCCTGTGACGGTCCAAAATCCAGAGTTAGTTGTTTACCAGGAGCTCCTGTGAGAGCAGGGAGAGGCTGACCCAAGGCAGGTTTTGGAACATTGTCTAAATTTATAATTTCAGTTGGTTATTTTTAAATACAACAGCCCTGTTCTGCCAGATGAGCTGCCTGATCACCTCAGCTGGCTTTGCAGAGAAGACAACTTACTGGAGGTGTTGTTACTCAAACGTGCGCGGACAGACCCTTTCTCGCAGAACGTGGTCAGGAAGTGACAGCGTTAAGGTGACAATCTCCTGGGTTGACTAAAGCAGTCTTGGAATATCGTTCCCATCTCTGTGTCCCAGAGACTTTTTTTTGAATAAATATTTTTGTCCTGGGTTTTAGAAAAGAAGACTTGAAATTTTTCCCCTGTGTCCCCACTCTGAAGCCCCGGGAACAGTACCATCCTCCAGTTGTGTGTTGGGATGCGGGATCCTCGCATCCGTTGGGACCTCAGGTTGTGTCCTTGAGAGCCTCTCGCACGACTGTGCGAGTGTCTCTGCAGGGGTTGGAGCCTCCAGAAAGGCGGTGGAGGAAACTGGAAGTAGTTTTTAGCCAGCTGTCTGCAGCCAGAGCAGGGGGTAAGACCACAGCCTTGGTGCCTCGCTTGCAAGCACCCGGCTTGGCTGCTGTGGGGAAATCTCACACTGTTAGAGTGTACCAGCTGGCAGGGCTAAGAAAAGGCATAATTTTGTTTTGATTGCCAAGGAAGGCTTCTAATTATTTTCACTTTCCCCGGGAAAATATTGTTATCGGGATGCAGGTACAGGCTATGTGTACGCGCCGCAGTGGAAGCAGGTGGTGAATTAGCAGGAGCTGGAGGAAGGCTGTAATAGTGAACACGTGGAAAGCTGTTACTGGGAGCGATGGAGCTGGCCCAGAACAAACTCGGACCTCTTCTGCTCTCCTGAACGCCCCCAAAGCAGGAAAGCGTGTGAGTCCTACTTCATGCAAAGCTAATTTTACAATTAAATACACGCCAAGCTCTGTTCTTGCTGACAAAGGGGGAAGGAGGGGATATGAAAGTCCATAGTGCCTAGGTGTGAGATTAGACTCTTGGTGCTTTACGATCACCAGAGAGGATCATTTCTGAGGGGTTTCTCCAGTATTTTAAATGGCTTATTTAAATTTAGCCTAACTACCAAACCAGTATAAATACTAAAGAAGTGTCGTACACAATGCTGATGGAAAATACATCAAGGATTTGAGCAGTTTGTACCATCCAGAATGTCCCGACTATCTGGAGGATACTTTCTGTGTAAAAATGGACTCTGCTGCATTAATGGTAATTGAATGTACAAATGCGGTTTGTGTGATTTCACAAAGGTAAATAGCAACTGATTAGTGTAACGAGGAGGGGGGAAAAAAAAAGTCCCAAACCTTTAATGGAGCTTGTTCCTGAGCGATGGCTGGTACCCATCAGGGGCGGAGGTGGTTGCCTGGAATTCTTCAGTGAGATTTCTCTTCCCAAGTGACTTGGCACCCTTGGATTTCTAGTTGTTTCCAGCTGGCTGTAATGCATGAGAGAGCAGGAAATTAGGAGTCACAGAAACTGGTCTGGGAAGCGCTGTTTTCAGTGAGATTCGAAAAGAAATGGTGGATCAATGAGGCAGGAGGAGGATTTTAACAGCCCTCCCAGCAATGAAGATGAGCGAAGGGGTGGGTGGGAGATGTAAATGGACTATATGGAACAGGCATCACCAAAAAGAGGGGTTTAGGCTGTTCTCTATTCCGCACGATTTTACTTTCTGGTTTTATTTGGAAACGCAAAGCCGTGTCTAACTACACGGAGGCAGGAACCACGTTGCGCCGGGTTTTACACTCGCCGGTGCGTGTCCTAAACACAATGCTGCAGCAGAGGAGGGAGCGTTACCTGATTACACATTCATTTCCCAAAGCTGCTTGGAAGACTTTAAGTATAATTTTATCATTCTATGCAGAGCTGGACGCTGCCAGATTTATGGGATAGCTTGTTTTTTAGTTCATGATCCACAACCTACAGCGTGTCAAGCTTAAATGTGGCAATATCCCTCTCTCCAGTTTAAAAAGACCCCCTGCCTTATTTAAATCACAGTATGAAACAGCCTTGGAAGGTTCATCGCTGGTTTCATCAAGATTTTTAAGAGGAAATCTCCCTGAAATTAGTGTGTGGGGGTTGTTTTGGGTTTGTTTTTTTTTTTTTTTGAGGCATGTGAGATTGTTCTGGGCTTATTGTGTGTTGGGTGGGAGGAAGGAAGAGACACCTAGGAACTATTTTGAAGGGATCAAATGTGGGACAAGTGAGAACACCCAACTCGATCAAAGATAGGCCGTATGGTTCCAGGAATGAGAGGTCGTGCCTTGCTGACTGGTTGGAATTCCTGAAGCAAGCTGCTGCCAAAAGTAATATGGATTTTGATGTGTTTTTTGAGGAGGGTAGCACTGGAGGCTAATACTGTAGGGACTGATGGACTCTGAAGGTTTATTTTATTGAGGGGAAAAAAATCCATCAACAAAAAACCCCGATATGCAGAAAGGGGAAAGACATAATAAGGGGGAAGTGAGATTAATAAGGGGAAGCTGGCGGTGGTGGGTTTTTTCCTTTGGTTTTAAACTTCAGTTTGTCATTTTTCTGACCTACAGAGACATGGAAAATGAAAATCAAAGTTTCTGCTAGCCTGTAAGTGTAGCCAATGCAAAAGTTAAGCTTTTGGAGTGCTTTTTGTGCTTTTCTGAGTCTCGGGCAATACTGGAATATCAGGGCTGAGAGTTTATTTTTAACGTGCGAGGGTGAGTTGGGGGTGACACCTGGGGCCCCTGGTCTGCAGGATGGTGGTAGATGGTTTTGGAGCCCCCCCAGACATTTGCGTGGTGCTCCCCCGGCCGAAGGAGATGGCGAGCACTGAGAAGCTCTTAGGGTTGAGTTCTTGGCGTAGGACAGTCTCCGCAGTGGACTGGCATGCGTGTAGCCAAGATAATTTAAGAAAGGTCACACTGATGGTGTAATAATTACTTCCTCCGGTATTTCTGTGAAAAGGAAGGACAATGTTCAGCGGCAGCGGTTGGGTTGCACAAGTCCGCACTCCCAGGTAATAAGGTGAGCGTAACTTCTGCGGGCCAAAGTGAGAAGAACCTGTGTCTCACCTCATCTGAAAGCTGCTACGGCCCGGAGTTTGGCTTCAAACGGCGCTTCTGGAAGATGTTTCTCTTTTAATTGCTGGTCTTGACCAGGTTTTGTCCTTACACTGTGACTGTCACAGAGAATACAGTGGGCACCAGAGGGAAGAGGTAAGGAGGGGCTCTGACGTGCCTGCGCTTCCCAGCAGGGAAAATAAAACTGTTCTTTCATTGTTCACCCCCATTTCCTGATAAATCTCACCTCGGAGTCTCTTCTGTAACGGTGACAGGGAGATTTAGCTGACTTCTGCTCGGCTTGAGTTGCATTGACCTTTTTCATGGTAGAACCAGTCGTACTCTCTAGGTTTCTCTTGCTCACGGAAAGCAAGGAATACAAACTGGGGAAAACGTGCCTGGGATTTCTCAGGAAGATTCTTCGAATGTGGCCGTAGATGTTTCTAACGCTGCAGGGTGTCCCCATCATGCTCTTGATGTCCCCAGCCCTACGTGGGAAGAATGTCCAAAGGCAGGAGGAGAATGTCTTCCTCCTGAGTTTCACAACCACGGGCTCATCCAGATTTCAGTGCCACCAGCCAGGAAGAGGAGCTCGCACGCTGGGTTTTGCTCTGGTATAGTAATTTTTCACAAAGTGATTTTTTTTTTTTTTTTTAGTGATACCCAGCTGATTTTTTAGTACTTGCCACCCACTTTTTTTCTCGGTAGGAGTAATGCAGCATGGTAGAGCAGTGGGATCTGGAGATACCAATGGCGAA